CAGGCTGAAGCGTAAAAGAAGAAAGATGAGACAGAGGTCCAAGTAAAATAGCCTGTACACCCATGGAGGCCAAAGCAGCAGAAATAAGGAGCGCTGGAGACTGAGGATGCTGGTACAAGTTAATGGACTGCATACTGTCTAGAACGTGTTCCAGAGGATTGGAACTTCATTGCCATCTGATCGCCAAGACCACCTCAAAGAGAGATCCACCTTGTTCAGACAAAAGCAGTCCCCCGATTTTTTGCCCTGGACCTCTGGCTTTCTGGACTACCTCTGTTCTCGCTTTTGGCCGAGTGTAACACGTGTACAATAAACGATCTGCTGTGTTAACTGAAGAATCAGATTGTCTTGGTTACTTCTTCTTTACAATTCCATTGAATGGGGATTCTGTTTTGGTAGTTTGCGTCCTGTCGGTACTCTGCTATGGAAAATAACCTACACTGGCAACAGTCCGGGTGTATGATGTAAAACTACCTCTGGTTGGCATTGAGAAAGGTGCTGTGTACTTCTGGCGGTACGGTTTTTAGGCTCGCGGGCAAGTTAAAGGGACTGCTTGGTACCGCCCCCTACCTTGTTTGGGAAGTCGTTAAAGCGGAGTTCCTGCTAGGGGTTTCCTTGCAGTGCTGTTAGGTCCGGTTGCCATGGCGACACGCAAAGATCTCTGGGAACTTCCCGCCCCTGTTGCAGCGTTCGTGTGTCATAGAGTATAGTTCCGGGTCTGGTAGCTAGAGCGTCGCTTCTTCCGCAGGAAGCGGAAGAGCCATCGGGTGGGCGGCTCTTTGTCGAAGCTAGAGGACCGGCAGGCGGCAGCAGCAACTACGGCGGCGGCGGCAGGTGAGGGAGGCGGGAGACTTAGGTGGAGGCCGCGCCCGGAGGGGAGGAGTCGGGGCCGGCCCAGCGGCAGGGCTCTGCCGGGCCACACGAGGCCCCCCAGAACCGAGCTCTGCTCGTCCTCACGCCCCGGCACAGACCCTCTGCTCTGACTGACCCCCGCTTCGCGAGCGGACGCCGGCTCCGTGACGTCACGGCCCGGCCCACCCCCGGGGCTCGATGTCATCTAGACCTCCCGCTCCCCGCTCCGCTCTCCGCTCGCGCGTGTCCCGCTCCTTGGCACCCAGCTGAGTGCTGGCGACGCCTCACTGAAGCGGACCTGCTTTGGGGAGATGGCGGGGACTTCCCGCAAAGTCTGGGTTGTCGGAAAGAGTCACAATCACCGTCCCCGAGAGTTAACTGCCGTCCCCCTGCGCTGTCAGTTGCTGCCCTTCTCGCTCCGTTTGGCCTCCGCGGCTCTTTGAGGCCGGACCCCGGGCCCCACATCCTCCTCCGGCTTGAGGGTCTTGAGGACTAGTTTTCCGACCCATCCCCGAGCCCTTCCGAGTCAGTCCTACCCCTTACTCTTTTTTTTTTTTTTTTTTTGTCTTTTTGAGACAGGGTCTCACTATGCAGGTCAGACTGGGCTTGAGCTCACTTTGTAGCCCAGGCTGGTCTCTAACTCGCAACGATCCTCCTGCCTCAGCCTCCCGAGTGCTGGGATTACAGGCATGCGCCACCACACCCGGTATCCTACCCCTTACTCTATTGCTGACTTCTCTCTCGACAGGTGAAGTTCAGCTTGAACTCTTAAGGAAATCCTTAAATTCCGAAATTTTTTAATGTTTTATCAGATTTTATTCGTATGTATGACAACAACCCTGTAGTCCTCCACTCTTACGCCTTATCCCACCCAGGTGTCTCTCTTTTTTTCCTCCGCTATTCAGAACCCAGCAGTGATGTGGAGGTGGAGACCCACAGGAGCCCGGGACTTCACCTGAGCTACCTCAGGTATCAACTCTGGGAGAATTGGTTCGGGAGGAGTGTCGTACCCAATTATCTGCTTCTGGTGGGACTTGCAATTTGGGACAGGCTTGGGTAGATGGCATTTATTCTTCAGTGTAAGTTTGTATCTTCTGATAGCACTTCTTTTGTTTTTGTTATTCTGGATTGCCTCCTTTTGGAAGAAGAGGGACCCCTTATACACATGTTGGGTAACTTTGGCCTCTGAGCTGGTGGGTCATTTTAGGGGGATGTAAACTCAAAAGTCAAGCCAGGCGTCGTAGCCCTCACCTGTAATCCCAGCATTTGGGAGGCTGAGGCGGGAGGATTGCAAATTTGAGGCCAACCTGGGCTATATAGCAGGTTCAGATCCAGTCCAGAGTACATAGCCAGGCCCTGTATTAAAAACAAAACAAAACAAAAACATAAAATCAAGGCAAGGGGTAATGTAGGACAGGTGAAGGCCAAGAAAATAGGCAAGATTTCCTTATGTGTCAGAAGTAATAGCGAGTTTTCCTGTTTGAACAACAGGGGGAGCCTGGACACGTTTAAGAAAGGCTTAGGAAGTTCCACACGTGGTGTCTAGCAGTCACAGCCTTATTGGAGGCGGAGAGAGGGGAGGGCTAGAATTAGGGCAGTGGACTGACATTCCGGAGCTCTCTTGGGAAACAGGAGATTTAAAAAGCTTTTATAGAGTCTATAAATAAAGAGGATCCTTATGGGGTAAGGAATGGTGGGGTTTGATGTCATTGGGATTTCCCATGGAAGGGCAAGAAGGGGCGGGGGGAGAGGTCACTTACTCCTGTGATGTTAACTCATTCCCATCTTGACCTTGCCACAAATGGTTTTGTCTTGCGGGTGGGGGTGTCTAGAAGAAATCCCAGCTTGGAATGCCTCCCTACTGTGAAAGAGCCTGATTTCCCTGGTGTCAGGAGTGGTAGTGGGCTAGGAGAAAACAGTTAAAAAACTACAGGTTGGAGACTGCCCCCGTGCAGGTTATACCATCTATTCACCCACAGTTCCTTGGGTTCTAGAGATCTGGTACATGCAGGGCCTTCCCTCAGATTCCACAGAAAAGAGGTTGGGGGAGTGTTGTTACCAGTGTCCCATCATTCACAGCCCTCGCAGCTAAGCAGTCCATCTTGGGCATTTTTTCCCAGTCTCCTCCCAGCCTATTCAGACACCGGCAGTAGTGTTAATTTCACTTCCACTACTTTAATAAGGTCAGCTCGGAAGGGAAGGTAAAATTCACCACTTGGGTCTCTCCCCTGAGCCTATCATCATTCGTGAGATGAAGTGGCTCCTTCCCAACTCCCTCCCTCCCTGCATTAGCCAGGCAAGTGTGAATCATTCTAACCAAGACCAGGTGCATGAAGGCCTGCGCGGGACTTGGGTCAAGTCAGCCAGTCCAGCCAGCATCCTCTTTCCGTAGGTTCTCCATTGCCTTACCGGACTGCCTGTTCTCCAGTCAGGCAGCGTGGGCTCTCTCTTGAGGACTCCTGGTTGACACAGGTCTCTTTTTCAGCGGTCACCAAGAGTGGCAAGAAAAGGAAGAAGGCCCTGAGTCGGGGGGTACCAGGATGCCTGACCGGGACGGCTATGCCAACGGCACCGGGAGCAGCGGTGGAGGCCCTGGAGGTGGTGGCAGTGAGGAGGCCGGGGGCGCAGGGGCGGGCAGCGGGACAGCCAGCTCGGACGCCATATGTAGAGACTTCCTGAGGAACGTGTGCAAGCGAGGCAAGCGCTGTCGATACCGCCACCCGGACATGAGTGAGGTGTCCAATTTAGGGGTGAGCAAAAATGAATTCATCTTCTGCCATGACTTCCAGAACAAGGAGTGTAGTCGCCCAAACTGCCGTTTCATCCATGGCTCCAAGGAGGACGAAGATGGCTATAAGAAGACGGGCGAGCTTCCCCCGCGGTTGAGGCAGAAAGTGGCAGCTGGCCTGGGCCTGTCACCAGCTGACCTACCGAATGGCAAGGAAGAGGTCCCTATCTGCCGGGACTTCCTCAAGGGCGACTGTCAGAGAGGAGCCAAGTGCAAGTTCCGTCACCTGCAGCGGGATTTTGAGTTCGATGCTCGGGGGGGAGGCGGCACTGGCGGTGGGGGCTCGACAGGCTCCATCCCTCCAGGACGGCGTCACGATCTCTATGATATCTATGACCTTCCAGACAGGGGCTTTGAGGACCATGAGCCAGGCCCCAAGCGTCGGCGGGGTGGGTGCTGCCCTCCTGACGGCCCTCATTTTGAGTCATACGAGTATAGCTTGGCTCCCCCCCGAGGGGTAGAGTGCAGACTGCTGGAGGAGGAGAATGCAATGCTCAGGAAGCGTGTGGAGGAGCTAAAGAAGCAGGTCAGCAACCTGTTAGCCACCAACGAGGTACTTCTGGAGCAGAACGCCCAGTTCCGAAATCAGGCCAAGGTCATGACCCTCAGCTCCACCGCACCAGCGACTGAGCAGACTCTGGCCCCCACTGTGGGCACTGTGGCCACTTTTAACCATGGCATTGCCCAGACCCACACTACGCTCAGCAGCCAGGCTCTCCAGCCCCGTCCTGTGTCCCAGCAAGAACTGGTGGCCCCCGCGGGGGCTCCGGCTGCTCCCCCAACTAATGCTGCTCCTCCTGCTGCTCCACCCCCCCCACCCCCACACTTGAACCCAGAGATCACGCCATTGTCGGCTGCTCTGGCGCAAACGATCGCCCAGGGAATGGCACCCCCACCTGTCTCCATGGCTCCTGTGGCTGTGTCGGTGGCTCCGGTGGCTCCGGTGGCCGTGTCGATGGCCCAGCCCTTGGCAGGAATCACAATGAGCCATACCACCACGCCTATGGTGACTTACCCCATTGCTTCCCAGAGCATGCGCATCACCGCCATGCCACATTGATCGGGCTCACGGACACTCCCCTGGTGTAGCCTCTCAGGGCTGGGGCGAGGGGCCGCTACCCGCTCCCTTAGCCCTGCTGGGCCCTGTCTGAAGGGCTCACTCAAGAACCAGGATGAGAGACTGTAAGGAGCATGCTTCTGAGGAGCACTTCCTGAGGTGGGGCGGGGCTGGTGTGTTCTCTCGCCTCCCTTTGAAGAGGACCTCGTGTCTCTCCTTCATGCCTAACTCGAGTGGGGGCTTGCATAGGAGCGCAGACTGAAGCCGTCAGAGAGGAGGGACTGACCCCGGGGCTGTGTCTCACGCGAAGTTGGGGCCATCCCTGGTCTTGTCGTCTCTTGTGCACAGCGCAAGTTCTAGCACTGGTTTTAGAAGAAAAAGATGCCCACCCAGAAGGAAAGCCAGGAAAGATTGAGAAGTGGGTGGCCAGAAGAGAGGTCTCAGAAGTCAGATCATTTGGGGCCCAGTTGGGTTGGGTAATACAGGAACTGCTCTGGAGCCCCTGGGAAGGCCGGGACCATCGTACGTACCGAGCCCAAAGACTAGAGGAGCATTCGTTGACCTAGCTTGGCCTGGAAATCTGTAGGGCAGGGCCCACTACTTTCCAAAGAAATAAAAGAATTATTTTTAACAAATGGAGGCAGTGAAAACTTCCTTAGATACCGTGTGTGGAAGACGGGAGCATAAAGTAGATCTCATGCCAGAATGGAGTCAGACCCTATACACACAGCTTTGCTAAGTTGGATGGAGGGCGGCAAAGAAGAGTAGGACCCAGAACAAGACTAGACGGGAAGCTGGGCGTGGGGGCGCACGCCTGTAATTACAGCACTCGGGAGGCTGAGGCAGGAGGATTGATGTGAGTTTGAGGCCAGCCTTGGCTACACAATGAGTTCAAGGCCAGCAAGACCCTGTCTCAAAAAAAAAAAACGACCAGGTGGGGACTTGGGGAAGGTACTTTGTGAGGTAAAAGCATGGGAGCCACCCAGTCTAGTTTAAAAATAGTCCCATCTGTTTTTGCTCTGTGTGTGCTATTCCCAGGTTGCCTTAGTAACCAGGGCTCCTAGGGTCATTCAGGAGGGTGTACTGCTGAAAAGAGATGGATTGTGTGGTTGACAGGTCCTACTCGTATGCAAACACAGGGCAGGTGCCAGTGGCCTGTCCGAGTTGTTGATGGCAGTTAATGCCCCTCCCACCCTTCCTCAGTGCCTGGTGCTGTAAGCTTTGAAGGCTTGGGAGGTGCTGGGCAGAGGGAGACCTGGGAACACGCCCTTTCCCCTCCCTGTCTCCACTTTGGTTTTTTTTTTTTGTTTGTTTGTTTTTTTAGTTTTTCTTCGGTACCAGGAACTGAACTCACGACCTTGCGCTTGCGAGGCAGGCGCTTTGCCGCTGAGCTAAATCCCCAGCCCCCCTGTCTCCACTTTGGACTAGGGGTTTTGAGTCCATGAACGGGTGATTAAGGCCAGGGACCTTCGCAGCCAGACTTCAGTTCCTCCTTGGCGCATGGCTGATGAAGGGGAAACAACTCAGGTGTGTGGTCTGCTGAGAGGTGGTTTGGGGGTGTAGAAAGTGATCCTGATCTGTGCCTCCTGTGCTGTCTCCTGCTGCCTCTTGTCTGATCTCCCAGGCTGTGTAAACCTCCGGCGGAAGAAGGGGTGCTAATCAGGCCCGTTGCTGGGGGGCGGGAGCCAGGTGTGGTGCGTGCACTTAGAATTCCAGCTGCCTCCTCAGCCCGAGTGGAGAGTACCTGAGCTCAGGAGTGTGGGGCCGGTCCGGCCAGCACAGCGAGACTCTCATGCAAGAGGCAGTGCCTGCAGACAAAAGATGGGCAAGTATTATTGACGTATTCAAAACCAGCACATCGATGAGCTTAACGTTCATTTGCTGGCATAATTCTGGGTTAAAAGACATGGTTTATGATGCGCATTTAGAGAGGATGTGATTATAGATACCAGCATGACTTCTCAATCCATCATAACTTTACTTCCTTCCCGCCAGATATCTCCAAAGAGGTGATGTGGGAGCTGTAGACGTTATACGTCTTACACTGATGCATTCCACTTAAGGGTCAGCAGGGATATGCAGAACCTGTAGTTGGCCACGTTGGGTTTGATGCTCACTGCAGTGAAGGGGAATCCTGGTGTGCCTCGGCAGGAGGGGGCTGAGAGGACTTGGACTCGGGTTAAGTGACTTCAGGGAAGGTTCAAGGAGGTGTGTGTTCCTCTGGATTGGATGCCGTCTAGGGAAACGGGGATCGTGCTATGATGAGATACATTACTGTACCTAAAACAAGGGCAGAAGGTGAAGCTAGAGCTGCGGTTGACGTGAAGCAGCAGTCACTCACTATGGGAACCGCAAATGTTTGCTATTTTGTGATTTGCACATTGACCTTGTTTTGTGCTTAAAATTGTGAACTGATCTTGAGGGTTTTTTTGTTTTTCTTCTTTTGTCTCACTTCATCTGGTCATTGAATGACCTTGTGAGATACTGGTGGGGTTTTTTTTTTTGGCCAGGCTTGGTAGCACACGTCTGTAATTCTAGGGCTTGGGAGGCTGGGGCAGGAGGATTACAAGTTTGAGGCCAGCGTGGGTTACGTAGTGAGTTCAAGGCCAACTCGAACTACATAGTGAGACCCTGTTTCAAAAAGCAAAAAAGTAAATGGTAAAGGTGTTTTTTGAGACTGGCTAGCTATGAGCACTTGCGCGACCATAACAACTCTGAACCTGGCTGGCTGATCCCAGTTGTCAGGAGCTGCTTCCCTCTCTTCCCTCTAAGTCACTGGAGATCACGAAAAAGATTATGGGTCAGTTAATAGGAAAATGTGGTGGCATCAAACTGAACATTTGTATCTAGTGAATGTTCATTAGTGCTTCAGAGAAATATCTCTAGTGAATTGCCCAAGGTCTATATCCTATCTAAAAAGAAAACCACCTTGGATAAAAATACTAATATTCCACTTAAGGGCCAGTGGTAGAGCACCTGGATTTGATCCCCAGCACTGCAAAATAAGTAAATAAATAACATGACACAAAGAAATACAAAATAATATTCAAAGTGTCAAATTTGGAATAAAATATTAGGCCCCTCTGCTAGAAATACTGCTTAAGGATAAAGCCTAGAGCTCATGTGAGTAATTGGATAGCTACATTAGTAATAATCCCATGAGAACAGCCTAGGGCTTCCATTAACTACAAAAATTAAACTCTCGGGCTGTGGGTGTCACTCTGCAGTGGAACACTTACCTGGCATACAGATTTGATCTCTGTCATACACATACAGAATAATCAGTTTGTAAATATTGTAGTGTGCTGTGTCCTAGCTGGGTGTGGTAATACGTTCCTGTAATCCCAGCACTCTCGGAGGCTGAGGAAGAAAGATTGCAAGTTTGAGCCCAGCTAGGCAGTATAGCATTGTAGTTGCAGCCCTGTCTAAGAAAATGGCTGAGGATGAAGCTCAGTGCAGAGGTCCTAGGTTCAACTCCCAGTAACAGGGAGAGGAAAACGTGCTGGGTTCTAGGAGCTCCGTAAGGATACCTGAGCCTTAGAAATGGATTGTGAGCCGGGTGTGTTGGTGCACGCCTATAATCCCAGGAGGCTGGGGCAGGAGGATTGCTGAGAGTTTGAGGCCAGCCCGGACTACGTATCAAGACCCTATCTCAAAAAAAATTTTTTTAAAAAATGAATTGGGAATAAAGCAATTCTACTTAGGTTCTGCCTAAATGGAACCACTCCTAAGTTGTGTGTTCTAAATGTAATTTTTGAAGAGGGCCCTTGACAAACCAGAAGAGTAGTTGAAAAAAACCTAGCTAAAGAAGGCTGAAGGGAAACCCAGTAGATGTCTGCAGGCGCCCCTCAATGGGAGAAGGTCCTGTGTTGCTGCACTGGAAATAACTGGAATTCTAGAACAATAGCTAACTCTACTTGGGACTGAATATAAGCCATGGAGCTGCGTGAGACACTTTTTAAAAATTTACAGTAGTGGAGATTTAACCTGGGACTTCGCACATGCTAGCCAAGTGCTCTACCACTGAGCTACATCCCCAGCTCTTTTTAATTTTTATTTTGAAACTAGGTCTCATTAAATTGCCTAAGGTGGCCTCAAACTTGTGATTCCCCCATCTGAGCTTTCTGAGTAGCTGGGATTCCAGGTATGGCCACCATGCCTGGCCCACGCTATGCACTTTAAATACAGAATGTTACTGACACAATGGGTACTATTATTGTATCCATTTTGCATTGGTGAGAGCAAGCTTAAAAAGTTATCTGAATCGCTTCTTAGCCTTTCGGCTAAGATCAAGTGTAGTGCCAAGTGTAGTGCGTCTTATCAGTATAATATTCTTTCCACATAACAAATGGTCACTGTGGAGCGGGTAGATGGAACAGGGCTTTGCTCCATCTGGTGTTTCTGTACTTCAAAAACAATGCATCTGCTGGGCATGGTAGTGCATGCCTGTAATCCCAGCGTTTTCGAGGCTGAGGCAGGAGGATTGCCCCAAGTTTGAGGCCAGCCTGGGGTACAAAGTCAATTTAAGGGCAGCCTGAACTGCATAGTGACGGCAAACCCTGTCCCAAAAAGACAAAACCAAAACCAAGCAAAGAAAAAAACAAAAGAAAACAAAAACAGTGCACCTCCTCAGAGGAAATATTTGCAAAGGTCAGGGAAAAATGCAAACTGAGCCAGGCATGGTGGCACACACCTGTAATCCCAGCACTCTGTTTTTTGTTTTTTTTTTGTCTTTTTTGAGACAGGATCTCACTATGCAGTTCAGGCTGGCCTTTCTAGCCCAGGCTGGTCTTGAACTTGCAACCATCCTCCTGCCTCAGCCTCCCAAGTGCTGGGATTACAGATGTGTACCACCACACCTGCCCAATCCCAGCACTCTGGAAGGGTTACAAATTCAATCCCAGGCTGGGAAAATTTAGCTAGACTGTCTTTCAAAATTAAATAAGTAGGCTGGGAGCCTGGTGTGGTGGCACACACCTGCAATCCTAGCACTCGGGAGGCTGAGTCAGGAGGATCCTTTGGAGTTCAAGGCCAGCCTGGGCAACAGAGTGAGCTCAAGGCCAGCCTGAACTGCATAGCCACACCCTGTCTCAAAAAAAAAAAAAAAAGGCTGGGAATGTAGCTTAGTCCAAAGAGCTTGGGTTCAACCTGCAGTACTACCAAACAAACAAAACAAAAACATCTGCCTGTGCTGGGTGCAGTGGCACATACCTGTAATCCCAGCTACTGTAGAGGCTGAGGCAGGAGGACTGCAAGTTTAGGGTCAGCAATTTTGCAAGACTCTATCTCAAAAAATATAAAAAGCTTAGGGATGTAGCTCAGTAAGAGCCTCTAGGTTCAGTCCCCAATATCCACCTCCCATCCACCCCCACACAAAAATTACTGGTGTTATCTGCCCAGAATTCTACAGCTAGTAAGGTATGAGCCCAGGAATGTATTCAGTCTGATTACAGACTTGGCATAAGAAAGTTCTGAGGCTGGGCATAGCGCACCCATAACCCCAGCACTTTGGGAGGCTGAGACAGCAGGACAGAGTTCCACACTAGTCTGGACTGCATGGTAAGACCTTGTCTGAAAAAATAAAAAATAAAGCTGGGGGTACAGCTCAGTGGCACAGTGCCCGCCTAGCAAGCGCAAGGTCCTGAGTCCAATTCTCAGTGCAAATAAATAAATAAATAAATAAATAAAATAAAAAATTGTGATAGAGCTAACCAACAATGGGAGGTGTGTGTGTGTGTGTGTATACTGAGGATTGAACTCAGCCTTCACACTGAGTTGCATCCCCAGCACTTTTATATGGTTGTGACATTTGTTGTTTGGTTTTTTGGCTTTTTGAGACAGGGTGTCACTGTGTAGTCCACTCTGGTCTTGAATTCACTATGTAGCCCAAGCTAGCCTTGAACTCACAGTCATCCTCCTGCCTCAGCCTCCCAAGTGCTGGGATGACAGGCATGCACCACCACGCCAGGCTGCCCCTTCCATTTTTGTAAATTGACTGAGACCAGAATTGTGCATCTGACCTCCACCTCCCCTAGAAAACAATTATAGTTTCAAGTCCCAGGCTGGGCATGATGGTGTAAACTTGTAATCCCAGCACAAGGGAGGCTGAGGCAAGAGGATCACAAGTTTGAGCACAGCCTGGGTAATTCAGCAACTTAATGAGAGAGACTGTGTCTCAAAAAAAGGGTTGGTGCTGTAGCTCAGTGTGAAGGACCTGGGTTCAGTCCCCCATACTGTCAAAAAAATAATAAAAAAAAAAATGTCCAGGAAGTGTGGATACTCCACTCTCTCCCCTCACCTAAGCTCCACCCTGTAAAACACTTCCTCTCACAATTGGCCATTCCTTCCTGTTGCCCATTTACCGCTTATCACCACCAGGGGGCACCTGGAGAGCAAAAATGCTTGATGGGTGGGGCTCCACCCTGTTTGTTCAGACTGCAGTGCAGCTGCGGGCCCTGTGGCTCCTGTGTCCCATGCTATACAGTGTCTGAGGTAGGACAGTCTGATGGCCTGGAGGAGGTGACGAAACGCAGAAATTTGGAAGGAGGAGGCTCCACATGTTACCTTGTCAGCCTCAGTCCTGGAAACCTCATTCTTTATTCTAGTGCTTTGCAAATTTCAGGGGTTTTTTGTTTTTTGTTTTTGTCTTTTTGAGACAGGGTCTCACTATGCAGTTCAGGCTGGCCTTGAGCTCACTTTGTAGCCCAGGCTGGTCTCGAACTTGCAACGATCCTCCTGCCTCAGCCTCCTGAGTGCTGGCATTACAGGTGTGTGCCACCACACCCGCTAGCATATACAGAGCTTTTAAAAGGTTCCTTCTCCCACTGTAGTTCTGCCGTTATCAGTTTCCAAACAGATCACTTCTACCTTCATGCCCCTTGTTTCGCTTTTCTCTGCTCATCTCTGGGAATATGGAGAGCACAGGCAGAGATAGAAGAATGTTCTTTTAGAGTCTGGCACACTGAGTAAACCAGTCTAAAACACTGGCAGCTTCAGAAACATAGACAGGAGGATATGAGAAACCATAAGGGCAGGAAACCGGGCAGAAACAGTTTATTAACTTCTGTTTTGAGTCAGGGTCTCACTATGCAGCCCAGGCTGGCCTCCAATTTAGCAATCCTCCTGCCTCATCCTCCCAAGTGCTGGAATTGCAGGGGTGTGGCACCACTCTCAGCTCACAAACAGGTTTTAAATGGCTTTGATGAAACAGCCAGATGAAATCTATGCCCTGCAGAGTCAGGTAAGGCTTATCAGCTGCAGATCTAGTCCCTCCCCAGTAACCAACCCTAGTTTCCCTGCTGTATTTGATAGAGTGACATAGTAAGACATATGCTGCAAAAGGCATTCTATGGCCAACCCTGCCTCTCCTCAGCTTCCAGTTCATCCAGTTCCCAGGTACCTGTATATTTTATTTTATTGGTACCAGGAATCAAACTCAGGACCTCGCACTTGCCAGGCAGACGCTTGTGCCCCTGAGCTATATGCCCGGCCTGCAGGTACCTGTAAACAAATCCAGAAAACTAGTAACAGCAGTCATCATCAATGTTCCTGCCTGATATAAACAGTACTGTGTAGAAGTGCATTAGTTCCACCCCTGACTGTAGAACTTTTCTTCTAACGCAAAGTCTTAGTGTCCTACAAGTTCTGGGGAAATGTAGTAATTTCCGCTGCAGTTGAGCCTATCCCTCTCCCTCTGGAGCTGTTGCTGTGATTTGTTGGATCTAAGGACTGAATCCAGGGCCCTCACTACATCCGCAGCCAATTTATCTCAACTCTGTAATTATCTGATTTTCTGATTTTCCCCTGAGTCTGTCGCTAACGCTGCACAGAGTAGGGGACTGGGGCGGATTAGACCGGGTTGGTTTACATTCCAAATAGGGTCATTTCATTCCTTTTGTAAAGGGGGCCAGGAAAAACTGGCTAAGAATTGTGCTTCGAGTTGTCAAAACGAGGCAAAGTTGACAAATGAGCATATGGAAATCTCAGAACAAATCCTGCAAAACCATATGCGTGCTGAAAGGAAAATCCTGGCCATCCACAACCTTCATTTCGCAAATCCAGCGCTTCAAAACCTAGAAATTGGCGGTCCGGCTCCGCATGACGTCATGCCACGGGCGTTCCACTCCCACGTGGGAGGAGCACTTGGCCCCGCCTCTCTTTAAGTTGTACCCCGCCCCTCCTTTACTCCACGACCAATCAAATATTGCACGTTAGCGCCTTTCCGCCTTTACCTCTCCGTCCAGGACCGCCCGTCTCGGCACTCTGGTCCAATCAGGGAGGTCCTGCCTATCAGAAGTCCTCTGATTTCCCCGCAGTCGAGAGGCGGAGTTTCAACCTTTTGACTCCTCCTTAGTCTCTGCGGCGCGGACCAACCCAAGCCGTCGGGGGGGCGTGGCCTGGGGCCCCCTCCCCCACACCGGGGCTCAGGGTTTGCACGGGGGCAGCGGGCGGCCGGCGAGGCCACTCCAGAGCTCTCCGGTCGGGCGGTGCTCTCGGGAGGGGCGCATGGAGCGCTCTCGGGGAGAGGGCTCTAGCGCCGGCCCCAGCGCCATGGGCCAGCCCTCCGCTCCCTCCGACCCCCCTGACCAGCCCCCTGCTGCTGGCGCGGAGCTGGACCCGGACGCCGGGCTCCCACCTGCGGGCCCGGGCGCGGGGAGCGAGGCGCTGGCGGCGCTGGCTTCGTTCGCGCGGCGCCTGCTGGTGCTGGTGCCCGTGTACCTGGCCGGGGCAGCGGGACTCAGCGTGGGTTTCGTGGTTTTCGGCCTCGCCCTCTACCTGGGCTGGCGCCGGGTCCGGGACGAGAAAGAGCGGAGTCTCCGGGCGGCGAGGCAGCTGCTGGACGACGAGGAGCGGCTCACGGCCAGAACGCTGTCCCTGAGCCAGCGAGAGCTTCCTGCCTGGGTGAGCCCCGCCGGCCCGCGCGCCCGGGGTGGACCTTCCAGGGGAGCATCGGGGCGCCCGCGGCCGAGGCGCGCTCCGCTACCCGGGCGTCTCCTGCGCTGCGCCCGGCTCCGGCCCTGGCCGCTCTGTCCCGGCCGCCCCCCGGAGATTCCCTCCCTCGCTTCCCCGCCCTCCCCGAGACTTTTTGCCCACTTCAGGCCACGCGCTTTGCCCTTTTCCCACTCTTGTCCCGGGGCGCCCGCGGGGACCCCGCCGCGCAGGCATCGCTGAGCTGAGCCCTAGCAGCCGGGGTGACCCTGCGCGGTCGCCTTCCAGCCTCGAGCATCCGGGCCGAGGGCGGGGTGCCCGGAAGAGGGGAGCGCGGCTGCTGCAGTCCCCCGGCCCCCGCTGCACCGGTCCCTGCCGGCCACACCCTTTTCCGGACCGTGGGCTGCAGCTCGGCGCGCTGACCCAGACCCTGCGGTCTGTGCGCCTCTGGGCAGAGGCGGACGCCTTCTCTCGGCCTTGCAAAGGCAGGGCCCGTTAGCTGCCCCTCCCTGCCGCCCTTCCTGCCCCTCCTAGCAGCCGTCCAAGTGTGCGGGGGTGCAGAGTGGCAGAAGAGAGGAATCACGTTGACACTAGGCGGGCACGGGCTCACTTCCTAGACCCTGCGCTGGCGAGGAGAGAGGAACGGTCCTAGAGGCCGGGGACATAGCTCAGTGGCATAAGCACCTGCCTGGCAAGCGCAAGGACCTGAGTTCAATTCCCGGCACCAAAGAAAGAAAGAAAGGGTCCTAGGGACCTGTAGCCCCGACAGCTGTCGGTTCCTCCTCCTCCTCTCGGAAATTAATCTCCCTCATATTACAGAGCACAGGTGTACTTTCCCATCAAAGGTGTCACACAGCATGAAGAAAGAAACAAAGCGAGAAGCCAGGGCCTAAAAAAGTCCGGCCCTTGCGGCCAAGGATTTGCTTTCTTCACCTTCCTGGCATGGCAGCCCCAGCCCCGCGAGGGGAGGAGGGAAGTCTGGACAAAGGAGCCTGGGTTCCCTCCAATCCCAGGATCCTCTGGCTCTGGTTTGACAGGACCTCCCCCCCCAAGAATGTGCCTCCCTCCTCCGCCTGCCCTGCCCAGCAGCTGTCACCTCAGCCCTGAGCTACCCACAGAGCATCTTTGTGTGGCCTTAGTAGAGAGCGCAGTGCCCCCAGCTTCTGAGGAAGGAAACCCCAGGGGTGAGGAGAGCGGTGCAGGCCTCTGGCACCCCACTCTCACGTAGGCAGTGCGGGCAGGAGTGTGCCTGCGGTCGGTCACTGTCTGACTTACCCCTGCAGGTCAGCTTCCCGGATGTGGAAAAGGCTGAGTGGCTGAACAAGGTGAGAGCTGATAGGTTTTTATTTTTCACGAGGGGAGAATGAGAATTCATTCTTCTTGCCGGGGCCTGTCGCACCTTGACGCCAGGCTGGGCCTGGTCCCCAGTGCTGCCCGCAGGGAGGGTTCCGAAGGAATTTCCCTCAGAGGAAAAGACTGAGAGCTTCCCTGCCCGTGTTCCCTCAATCCCAGATTGTAGCGCAGGTGTGGCCCTTCCTGGGCCAGTACATGGAGAAGCTGCTGGCCGAAACGGTGGCGCCGGCTGTGCGGGGCTCTAACCCCCACCTGCAGACGTTCACGTTCACACGCGTGGAGCTGGGGGAGAAGGTACTGGGGGAGAGCCCGCCGGGGGTGGGCAGCACGCAGGGCGCTGAGGGCCTCCTTCTCTCTCCAGCCCTTGCGCGTCATAGGAGTGAAGGTCCACCCTAGCCAGAGGAAGGACCAGATCCTGCTGGATCTGAACGTCAGGTAGCATCACGCACCACTCTTCCGCTGGCCTTTTGGGGGCCCTGCCCGCTCCTCTACCCCTGCGTCAGCCCGGTGCTCACCGTTACTCTCTTCCTCACCAACCCCAGCTACGTGGGTGATGTGCAGATTGACGTGGAAATAAAGAAATACTTCTGCAAAGCGGGCGTCAAGGGCATGCAGGTGGGACACAGGCCCTCATGCCGGGGAGCTTCCACCCTGTTTCGTGGGCGATGGGGAAGCGGGAGGTTGAAAACGTCAAGGGTGGGGAAACGCCGCGGTCTTGTCTTCTTGCACTAGCTACATGGCGTCTTGCGGGTGATTCTTGAGCCACTCCTGGGAGACCTTCCCATCGTGGGGGCCGTGTCGATGTTCTTCATCCGGCGCCCGGTAAGGAAAAGCATTGGGGGGGTGGGGAGGCAGGGGCAGGCAACAGGACTGGGATGGCGACAGCAGGCAGCTATGGAGAAGAAGAGTTGACAGAGGCTGAAGGGCGTGCATGGGTGTGAGCACGTCCCTTGAGATCTGCCCTGACCGCTGCCCCTTCCCTTCCAGACTCTAGACATCAATTGGACAGGGATGACCAACCTGCTGGATATCCCAGGACTTAGGTATCGTGGACTTGCTGAGCGCCTGCTAAGTATCCAGCCCCAGCTTGAGGGTATAAGTGGTCCAAAGCAGTAAAAGGTGCCGCCTGTGCCCTCTGAGACCTCCACTGTAAGGCTGCGCGTGGTGGCGCACGCCTGTAATCCCAGCACTCGGGAGGCTGAGGCAGGAGGATCGCTGTGAGTTTGAGACCAGCCAGGGCTACAAAGTGAGTTCAAGGCCAACCTGAACTGCATAATGAGACCTTGTCTCAAAAAGACCTCCACTGTAGATGAGGTGTTTCCTACTGTGATTTTTCTGCGGGAGGGGCATGCGTTTTAGTAGGGAAGAAAGAGGGCTGAAGACTGCTCCAGCGGGGCAAAGAGAGCAGGAAAAGCACTGGGGAGGCAGTGACGCAGGTGGGGAGCTGGGGTAGAGGAGTGGCCGGAAGGGTTTTCAAGCAAGGCTTCCTTGTAAGCCATCGGTCCGCCTTGCAGTAGGAAGGAGCTGGGTCTGGAGGACTGGGAGTTGGGCCCATGTCCCTCTCGGCCCCGCCCCACAGCTCTCTCTCCGACACCATGATCATGGATTCCATCGCCGCCTTCCTGGTGTTGCCCAACCGACTGCTGGTGCCTCTCGTGCCTGACCTCCACGACGTGGCCCAGCTGCGCTCCCCTCTGCCCAGGGTACGCCTCGCCCCCTGCCAGCTCCTTCTCTCCAGAGCCCTGCGCCCGCCCCTTCGCTTCTCACCCACCGATCCTAACTCAGGGCATCGTTCGGATTCACCTGCTGGCTGCTCGAGGGCTGAGCTCCAAGGACAAGTACGTGAAGGGCCTGATCGAGGGCAAGTCGGACCCCTACGCCCTTGTGCGTGTGGGCACCCAGGCGTTCTGCAGCCGCGTCATCAACGAGGAGCTCAACCCGCAGTGGGGAGAGACTTACGAGGTACGGAGCAGTGGAGCCGGGGTGCGGGGGGTGAAGAGGCCCCTCGAGGCTGTGGGAAAGACACTGACCGAGGGCCGCACAGCTGCAGCCCGTGAGACCTTCGCCCTCTGCGCTGCAGGTGATGGTGCACGAGGTCCCGGGGCAGGAGATCGAGGTGGAGGTGTTTGACAAGGATCCCGATAAAGATGACTTTCTGGGCAGGTGAGCCCTTCTGTGTTACGATTCAAAGTTTCAATGTTACCAAGAGGGCTAGGGACATAGCTCAGCGGCACAGGGCGCAGTGCCTCTCTGGCCAGCAGGAGGTCATGAGTTCGATCCCTGGTACTAAAAAAAAACAAAACTCATTCTCTTTTTTTTTTGTCTTTTTGAGACAGGATCTTGCTGTGCAGTTCTGGCTGGCCTTGAGCTCACTTTGTAGCCCAAGCTGGTCTCGAACTTGCGAAGATCCTCCTGCTTCAGCCTCCCTGTAGTTGTTTTGTGAATCTGGAATTCTTGTATCATTTTTCTTCCCCATCCTCTACCCTGACGCATGCATGCGTGCGCGTGTGTGTGCACACACGCACACGTGTGCACAGGCAAATACCTCTGGGTCTGAGGAGAAGGGGGTCTGAGCTCTCTGCAGGTGCCTCGGGGTGGGTGAGTGGAGGGCCGCTGCCGCACCCCAATGACAGTGCGTCCTTTCCCCCTTGACCCAGAATGAAGCTGGACGTAGGGAAGGTGTTACAGGCTGGGGTACTGGACGAGGTAAGTTGGAAGCGGAGGATGGTGGGAGTGGTCCCCCCTTGGGCAGACAGGAGCCGCCACGTTGGAGGGAAGAGGGTGGGTGGGTATCAGATCGCTGCGGGACCTCGCTTCTACCTCTCCCGTCAGTGGTACCCTCTGCAAGGTGGCCATGGCCAGGTTCACTTACGGCTGGAGTGGCTGTCGCTTTTGCCAGACGCAGAGAAACTGGAGCAGGTAAGTCACGTGGCGGGAGGAACGGGGGTCGGGAGGACCAAGGCCTGACCTCTCGCCGCCCGCCAGGTTCTGCAGTGGAACCGGGGCGTCTCCTCCAAACCAGAGCCCCCTTCAGCGGCCATCCTCGTCGTCTACCTGGACCGAGCCCAGGACCTTCCTGTAAGTTTGGCTGCACGGGGGCGGGGAGCCCCTCATGCCGCCCTGCGCCCGGCCGGCTTCCTGCAGCAGTAGACACGCAGTGCAGGGTCGGGGGGACGGACCCCTCGGGGAGGGGACTCTGGGATGCTGCTGCCGTCCTTCGCCAGAGCACAAGCTCGGCAGACAGTGACCCCGAGACTCTGCCCCCACAGCTGAAGAAGGGCAACAGGGAGCCCAACCCCGTGGTCCAGCTGTCCGTTCAGGACGTGACCCAGGAGAGCAAGGTGAGGGCGCGCTGCGGGGCCTCGCGGAGGGGGAGCGGGGTGAGGGCCCCTTCCCGGCGTCCCGGTGCAGGGCTGGCCGCAGCGGCGGCCTGGTGCTCGGTGTCCACACGGCTGCCGTGCTCCCCACCTGCAGGCGGTCTACGGCACCAACAGCCCGGTGTGGGAGGAAGCTTTCCGCTTCTTTCTGCAGGATCCGCGGAGCCAGGAGCTGGATGTGCAGGTGAGACGAGCACTTACTTGCCTGTTCTCTTGCCAGGTCTGTGTTATCTCGTGCGCACACGCGCGTGTGTGTGCGTGCGTGTGTATATGTGTGAGAGAGAGAGACTGAGGACTGAACCCAGAGGCCCTCTACCATTGAGCTGCACCTCCAACCCTTTTCATTTTGAGATGTCTCACTAAGTTGCTCAAGCTGGCCTCAAACTTGTGATTCTCCTGCCTCAGCCTCCTAAGTAGCTGGGACTACAGACTTGTGTCACCGTGCTGGCTAAATCCTAGTCTTTTTTTTTTTGTGGTGCTGAGAATGGAACCCAGGTCTTGTGCCTGCTAAGCGTTCTGTCGCTCAGCCACACCCCCAGCCCCCCTGATCTCTCCTCAGTCCATGTGCTCACTCCCCTGCCCCCCACCTCTCTCTCTCCAGTCAAGTTTGGTTTGTTTTTGATGTTTATGGGAGTTGGGTCTAAGGTTACATTCATACTAGGCATTCTGTCACTAAGCTACATCTCCAGCTTCTAGAATCAGTTTTTAGAATTTATGTTGTTGTATACTTATTTTTATTATATAT